TATATATATATAATCTAGTCAAAAGTTTCTGAAAAGTTTAGGCTAACAAAAACTGAAAATGAATGTACATTTATACAAAAAGTGTCCTATATGATCAAAAGGCACTTGAAATCTGGATGAACTCTGGCTGCAACAGGTTTGTCTGTAGGGCCAATTGATTTTGGGCATAGCCCAACCTACTGGGCTCATGAATTTAGTACTGTCCAGGTAATAAAGAAAATAGTCAAAATTTTCTAAAGGAGTATAGAATGTTCACTATGCAAAATAAGTATTTACATAGCTTAGTGAATATGGTAAAATTTTATTCACCCAATCAAGTGCAAGGAAAAAGAAAAAACTTTTTTTTGCTTGAATTTGTTTAGATGATTGAAGTGAACACAGACTTACTGAGCTAAATAAACATTCAGTTTGCGAAGATAAAATGGTCTATTCCTTTAATATATCCATTCCACTGTATAATAACTATTCCATTCAGGTTTAATAATTACCATTTACATATAAGCGATGCCCAGGCAAAAGTCTGTTAACAAAATAATATCAATCAACATGTGTATTTTACAGAGACCCGATGAAATTACAACAGCTACATAATCAAGTTATGATTGAGCAACAATTTCAGCCTTCATCCCCAAATTCCGCAGCAGGAGATGCCCTGCCAAATTCAGTTGTCCAAAATTCTACGTCACCTTATATGTTTGCTCATCCTCTGCAGCATCTTTTAAACCCAGATCCAGTAAATGCATACCCAGTGCCTACAGCTAACACTGTTTCACCTATAAGGCCATGGACAGTTGGCACTCAGAACACCACCAGCACTTACCATGAGATTTCATCATCTTTGTCCTCTACTGGACAGCCTCAGTCTCTTTTAAGTTCTACAGATTCAGTATTATCTTCAACACCTTCTACGCTGCCCATCAAGAACCATTTCCAACCACAGACTGTATTACAATCTCCTGTCTCTCCTCCACGGATTCAAAACCCTGTTGCCTTTCTTAGTTCTGTTCTTCCATCACTACCTTCACTACCAGTAACAGCTCCAACAAATGCAATGGGTCTGCCAAAGAGTTCTTCCACGTAAGTAATGAAGTTTGTCTTTCACATATAAATTCTTTGCCTGCTTAACATCTACCAAATGATAGATTAGGTTGAAGTCCAGTGGGGTACCGTATTTATATTTGCAGCTGTTTTTGTTGGTCTAACCAATATAATAGCATAAAGGTTAGGAGAGAGCAGTGTTAATTTTTACAGTTTTATAAAGAAACAATAACATTGAGTATTTTCAACAAAGGACCAGTAATTAGATATGCATTGATTATAACAACTTGCATATACTATTCTTCATTCTTTCAAGCAGGAGTGCAACTTTAAAATATTCAAATGAAAAACTATATTGGCTGTAATGCCATTGCACATATTACCTATTGACCGGAACTGGAAGTCCAAATAGATTTGTTCTGATTGGATCGCTTCCCAAATCGTCTCTCCCTAACATTATAGTCTAGTTTTAGTTAGTCGACTTAAAATGTCGATATATTTTCATGATAGTTTTAGTCATCATAACTTAGTTTTTATTTGGTTTTAGTCTAGTTTTAGTTTCGCTTCTCGGCCTTTTGGCTAAGATCAAGTGTAGTATCTGTTCTTATCAGTTGCCGGTGGAAGAACGACACCACTCCTTCTCGAGGTGATTAGGATGGTGGCTTAGTATTTACCGGCGTAATTGGTGGGTGTCAGATGGGGTACAGTCCCTCCTGGTTAGATTCTGGCCCAGTGATGCTGGGCTTGTCACCGGTGGTAGGGATGGACCCCTGACGGCACTACCTTCTGATGGGAATGGATGCGAAGCTTGGTCGAGGCTAAAGGGTTGGGAGGCGGCAGAGCCCGTGGTGTTGTGCCCCCTGGGGGTGGCGTCCCAGGGGTGCTCAGAAAGTCACTTGGGTGTGGGAGACCCACTTTGACTCACTGTGCACTTGGTCACACACCACCTTGCAATTTCTGCACAACGCCTCTTGGACAGGCCTTATGGCTAGTCCGGGGCAATTATTTAGTGGTGCACTGGCACTATTCCTTTATTTATAACAGAGTGCTAGGGTGCAGGTACCTTCAGGGCCTATTCCCGATGCAGGGGAGGAGGTTCTGTGCCCTAATATAGGGTTCTCTGCCTCCTCCCGAACCAGGGAGTCTCTCTTCGGGAGAGCTACCTACCTAGTACTTGGTGGGACCTGTTTCGGCAGGTCCCCGAAGGATCGGTGTCCGCCAGTCTCCGGGCTAGCGGACCAAAGTATCTCAACCCCTGTCAGGAGCCTTGCGCCCCGGGGGGTCGGGAATTCAAGGTCCCTTCTTTATTGAAGGACCAAGCACCCTTGTGCACGTTTTTGTGTGCTGTGATTTCACGGTTCACTTTTTTTGTACACAGGGGGAAGTTTGTTTTATGATGCACGTCCACGGGCTCTTAAAAAAAAGAATTTAGTCTAGTTTTAGTCACTGAAAAGGTGTTGTTGACGAAAACTGATGAAAATTATTAGTCAACGAAATTAACACTGGGAGTGCGGAGAAGTATACTATCTGCATGCTTTAATTTGTCATCTATGAAAGTCTTATTGCATTTTGAAGGTAAACGTAAGCCCTGCTTTGTATTTGCAGGGCGTTTTTAGTTGTCTTTAGTTGTTTGCAAGGTATTCAGCTATAATAACAAAGGAAAACTCATCACACCCTCAACACATAAATGCGGTACTATAATGACCTTTACTGATAACATGGGCTTAGTTTGATCATACTGAGCTGGTTTTATTTATATGATTATAGTCACGGTCTAACAGAGATTGCAGGAAAAATATGCAGTGAGATGGCCAAACCCATTAGGTAAGAAATGTTGACTCACTAAGTCTGGATCACACAACTACAGCTGTCTGAAATTTTGAGGCAGATTAAAATTATTTTTTTAATGATGATTGCCCAAACTCATTGGGTTGGTTTACTAAAGGAGATAGAATGGGGAAAGGTTAAAACCCCTTTCATGGGCTCTATTAAAGAGATGTCTGTTCTGGAATCAGCATATAACGAGACAGGAAGTGAGGGAAATCTACAACAGGGAAACAGACAACAATAAAACAATGACGGAAGTGCTAGCATTCCCCTAACTAACTTTTTTTAAAAAACAATGTCATTGTTGCTGTTAAAAAGTTTCCTTCACTTCCTGTCTGGTGAAAAGGTAGTGCCCTGGACAGTAAGAAAGGGAAAATCTATATAACAGAGCCCCGGATAGCAGTAAACTTGACCGGGGTTCTAATACTTTCCAGGTTTTGGCTATAGATACATTTTAAATGATGATCCTCAGAATCTCAGACTTACCCTTCTCCTCCTCTTACGCACCTTTCTTTAACCCCCTTTTCCTAACCTAAACACAGACGCCCACTTCCCACCTTTCAACACCCTAGGAAGCACAACATGGGGGAAATATTTTGACTATGATCCTCAAACTAAATACAATAATTAACACAAATATTAATATCTTTCAATTTTTGTTGTACAGCTGCTTGCCTCAAGGTATACAAAAATTGAAGAGGACATGACTAAACCCATGCCTCCCAACTGTTCCTCATTTGGAGGGATTGTCCCTCATATGGAACCAAATCCCTCTGTCCCTCCTCAGTTGTCTGTCTAACCCGCTTTTTGGTCTGATGTACAGATATCTATGAAAGGGTTTTTGTGTTATTCTGCACTAAAACCTTTATCTTATCTCTTAATTATCTTGTTGGCTATTTTAAAAAAGCTGGTGCAGAGAAAAAGAAAAAATCAAAAAAACAATTCTGGGTTTAACCAACAAATTTTGACATATACATTCTTAGTGGTTGGGATAGCTACAGGTGTGACAGGTTTGTGTCCATTGCCTAAATACATTGTGATAGAAGGTGTTCTCCTTTCTCATCTCAGAAGGTTGGGAGGTATGCTAAACCATATTATTATTTACATGAGCATTTAACTTGTTTGTTATCATGGCTGATCATTTAATATTATTTCAGCAGAATAATCCTAGAATAACCTTGATAGTATTACGTAACCTATCATATACCCCACCCTGTTTTTGCTTTCCCTGCTCTGCAGATAAATAAATACAAATTCAATAAAAAAAATATGCAGATGATGAATTTATGAAGTCTAACCTCCTGTCTAACTAATATCTATAGTCACCAAAATGCAACTTTAGATCATGTATTTCTGTGATTTGAATAGCTCATAATACAGTACAACTTCTTTTTAATCCCAGGCCTCTTCAAGCAACACTAAAGAAAACTTCAAATCCTGTAAGGTATATACCGCAAGATCAAATTCGTGAAAATAAGAATTTGGTGGTACAGGAGTTAGAAAAGAAACTCTCTTTTAGAGAAGAAGCACCCCCTCGACAACAGGTGTGTAATATAAATTAACTAAATAGTCAAAGTGTACCTCTTCTCCATATACTGGTCTAAGATTTCAGAGAGTGCAGCCTGCAAATGTGCTAGAAATTGCTGACATAAGTGTGGAACACAGAACGCTAATCTCAGGAGCCATTACAAATGATTTAATTGGCTGAATTTTGCATGAATTCGCAATTCTGACACAACTGTGTGAGTGACAGTTCCTCTTTATATGTGAACCTACAGTAAAACTGTCATGAAAGAAATATGTCATTTCAAGCTGTTGCTTAGATCTAAACCATAACTTCGGTACTCTGGTTTCCTCCCACACTCCAAAGACATACTGGTAGGTTAATTGGCTCCTCTCTAAGTTGGCCCTCTATGTATGCATGTGAGATAGGGACCTTAGATTGTAAGCTCCTTCAGGGTAGGGACTGATGTGAATGTGCAGCTATGTAAAGTCCTGCGTAAATTGTCGGCGCTATATAAATACCTGTAATAAATAAATAACTTGATGACAATAAGGATGGTAAAGAACTGTGTATCAAGAAAAGGAAGAGAAAAATTGTTTTTTTTGCTGGCTCCAGAAAAAACAAGTCCAATAACCTTCAGTCTAAGAGATATATATATAAAGTGTATAAATGTATTAAACAATAGTAAAAAGCATTGGATATGCATAGAAAATATAAAAGGACATACACCTCAGAGGAGAAACCTCCTATCACCCCCTAGAATACCACAATCGAGGTTAACTAGGTGATCATAGATCTTTACATATATACATGAAAACATGGCAGAGAAGCATATACATCTCAAAGGAGAAAATTTTGATTAATTGTATTAATAAACCTCAGGTGGAAAAGACAATGCTTGTGGGGGTGATATAGTGCTTGCAATGCTAGAGAGAGCAGTGCTTGTAGACTCTATGCTTCATGAGGAGGAGAAGGAGGTAGTCTGAGGGTCATACAATAGCAAAGTATAAGTAATAGAACAATAATCAAAATTGTGCATAAAAAGTATTAGCATCTGGAGCCAGCAAAAGGGAGGATCTGTGCACCATAAATATTTTTGTCTCTATCATGAACGGTTGCTATGTTTTTTTCCTTAAAACACTGTTTTCACCTTTTTTTCTATTTTGCATCTCAATGCTGCTCCACCCTACCCGACACACACACTCATATATATACTTTTTCAGCCACTTCCTGTCTACATGCATTCACTTCAGTGTCATTTGCTCTGGACTGGCTTCCTGATAATGGCAGCAGTGGATGATGCCTGTATGCATGTATTTGAGCATGGCCACTTATAGGCTCAATCAGAGCTTCATGTGACAACACAGGACTTCAATTAGGAGGCAGGGACAAAGCACTGTCACTAAGTAACAGGAAATGCCAGAACAAAAAACTTCATGGCAGGATCGCCAAGCATTAATATGAAAAAAGCTGTCTTATTTGTGCATCACTCAGCTGTAGATCCTCAAATCATCTCTGAATTGGTGCTGACACAGTCCTTCCTTCTGGGGGTGGCTCCTTTTGTTCCCCATCATCCCTGTGTGTGGAAGTTCCAAGTTCACTCCCGTAATAGACTATACAATTTAATACGAATCAGTCAAGTAAAGGGAGTGAGCTTGGAGCAGTGGCTACTTTACAACACACAGAGGGACCATGTGTAACAAAAGTAGCCACCCTCGAGAAGGAAACACAGTGTCAGCACCAATTCAGAGATGATTTGTGGATCTAAAGCTGAGTGATACACAAATAAGATACATTTTTGTTAACAGTTAAGATACGTAAATGAATGTTTAAGATTTAACTCCTGAGTTTAGTGTCACTTTAAATACTTTGGGGTTGATTTACTAACCTTATAAACACGCCACAAACAAGTATACACCTCTGTAGTGTGTTCCCTCCCAGCATGATCTATGGGTGGAATCTAAACACCTTTGTAGTGTGTACACACCCAGCAGGTGTGTTGTGCAAAGCCCTGCATGAATTGCAAGGTGATGTTGTGTAAATTAGCTCTACGTTGTGTTGCTTGCGTTGATGAATGCAGGAATGTAAATGCATGAGCTAACCATTTTTGTCTAAACTGTGAAGCAGCATTATATATGCATCATGTGCATGATTTTTCCATATATGGCATTAGTGGAAATATGCTTTTAGAGACTTTTTGGTTGATAAATATGTTTTGCTGTGTAAAAATCACACGCACCTGGTGCGTGCGTGTGTTTAGGTTAGTAAATCACCCCCTTTGAATCAGTACAACATCCAGGCAAGTAGCATTTTCAGAAGTAGAAGTCATCAATGCCAGCCTCCATAATATTCTTGTGACAGTTTTCCTATAGGTAGGGCTTAAATTCAAATCAGTGGCGATTCCATGTAATGTAGCTTAGTAGGACATCTTAGCGTAGGAAATTATGTTCTGTCTGGGATTGTTAATATTAGGAATTTAATCCTTTCAAAAATATAACTTTGTGCTTATAATGAAAAAAAGGTACAATACTTTGAGAAAACTGATTGGTTTTGAATTTCCATATTTGTAGGAATATAAGATATCCAATTTTGAGCAGAGACTGATGAATGAGATTGAGTTTCGCTTGGAGCGCACCCCAGTGGATGAATCAGATGATGAAGTGGAACATGATGAGATCCCTAGAGGAAAATGCATCGCACCCATCTTTGATCGCAGGCTGAAACACTTCCGTGTTGTAGAAGGTGCATCAGTCACATTTACGTGTAAAGTTGTTGGGATACCTATACCTAAAGTAAGTGAGATGCAGTACTTAAAGGGAACCAATAGTGTTTTACTTATGTCTTCTTTATTTATGTACTATGTTCAAGCGTAAGAGATATATTTTTTATTCCCATTTGGTCAGGGATAACTGCATATAAATATTTCACATTTACCCTTTTATAGCCAGCGTGTGGCAAGTCCAAAATTGATGCTCCTGAGTTTCAGATTGCTGGCTTTCTGTTGTGCTGTACAGGACAGCAGGACACACACATGATGCTGAATGACTTGGAGGAGAAATACAACCTCTCATTTCCTCCTTCACAGTCCCCTTTGGATCTATAGGAGCAATAGATAAGTGCAGAGCTAGTGCTGGACTTTCTTCTTAGTGCAACATGCACTGCACATATGGAAACAGCCTAAAACAAATGTTTTTAAAATAGGGATTTAAGACTAATAGGAATTGTATTTTACAATATATTAATCAACTTGTACACTTCCAAAAATATAATGAAAAGGAACCTAAAACCACTTTTTAAAATAACAAAGAAGCCAAACTTTTGGCTGTTAACATCCAACCAGTGTAAAAGTATAGCATAGTTGTAACCTCATCTGTGATTATCTGTTTGATTCAGATTTGACTGATCTATTACCATGGCAATAAAAGACAAAACTCGAATGTTTACACTATCTGTATCATCAGAAATAAATAGAAAATATGTGCAGTGCAGAGATCTTACCAATAGAGTTCCAAAGAGTTCTAAGAAACTGCTAGGTGATTTATCTCTCCAGCATCTACCAAATCAACATCAGCTTTGTGTGCAATGACCATAAATGAACCATAAATGACCATAAATGAAACAGCAAAATTCCCTACACCCTTTGCCTTGTGCATGTGTGCTGTACTGACCTGGATGTTACAGCATTGGACTTGCCAATCTCTGATCACCTGTACTGCTTTTGAATGTAACAGGTTATAGCTAAAGTTATGTTTTTGTTACTCTGACTATTTTAGGTATACTGGTTTAAAGATGGAAAGCAGATTTCAAAGAAAAATGAACACTGTAGAATGAGGAGAGAAGCAGATGGAACCTGCTCTTTGCATATAGAATATGCCAATAATGATGATGACGGAAACTATACCATCATGGCTGCAAATCCCCAGGTAACAGGAATATTGTTTTGTGCAATGTAAATATTATGTACATTTTTAGCAGCTCTGAGAAAAAAACCTTTCAGATTATTAGACTGTGTATTTTAATACAGAACTTTGCTAAGAAGTATTTACATATAAACAAGTGACAGAACATCAGCCTAGTGTAATTCTATAAATACTAGGGATGTATCACTAGGGATGCAACAAGCGAAGCCGGCCTCCTAGTCAATCAGGAAGCTGAAAAGCAGGTCATTACATGCCGCTTGGCTTCCTGATTGGCTTGGTAGTCGGCTTCACTTGTTGCTAGGCAGCCTGGCTTCCTGACTAATCAGGAAGCTGGGCGGCACCTCATGACCTGCCTCCTGGCTTCCTGATTTGTCAGGAAGCCAGGCAGCCTTGAGAAGTGAAGCCACGGTTCTTTCGATAGAACACCAGCTTCCCAGGCAATCAGGAAGCCAGGCGGCAGGTCATGATCCTCCATCCGGCTTACTGATAATCAGGGCACACGACACTGGTATCGGTATTCGGTATTGGTGAGTACCAAGAAAAAAATATCGGTACTCCGAAAAACCTGTATCGGTGCATTCCTAATAAATACTATAGCATAATACTGTTTAGGGGGTTCTCATGCCTTCACCTGTTTTATATATGTGGAAGAACGGAAAGAACTGTAAAAAATCGGAGCTGTGTTTGGTTGCTCCTGCAGCTAAGCCTGTCATAGCTATGGGTAGTAAGGAAGATCATGGGGAATTGTATCAGGGAGAATCAAAAAGTAAAGGCAATTTATAAATTTCGCAGTAACCGGAAAAGAGTGTGCAGTACAGTGCTCTGACTTTAGAGTTGTAGTGATGTGGACAGAAACATGGGCACTCCCTTGTAAGATTGCACCATCGAATGTAGGCTCAGTATGTCATATGAAAGGTTTATGAGTGGGTAGAAAGATTTAAAGAAGAAGAACAGGTGTAACCGTTGAAGCTTGTTCTGGTCACCCATCAACATCGCACACACAAGACCTTAACGACAGAGCAGATGCCTTGATTAGAGAAGCCGACGAATAACAGTGCCTCAATTGGCTGCAAGTTTTAATATCAGCTATAGATCTGAATTTGACTAGTCATCATTAGTGCATGATGACCTGGGATACAGGAAAGTCTGTGCACAATGGGTTCCCAAACAGCTTACTGCTCTGCACAGGCAACAGTGTGTGGAGGTTGCGACCCAGTTCTTGAGACGGTATGAAGAAGATCGGAGTGTTCTGTATCTGGTGCCGAGCGATTATCACATGTTTGGTGGAGGCGCTTTGTGGTCGCAGGTTCACCTCAGATGATGAAGTAAAGGAAGCAATGCACCCCTGGCTTAAGCAGCAGCCAAAACGCTTATTTTGTGCAGAAATACAGAAGCTATCTGAACGATACAACATCATCTTGCATGGGGACTATGTTGAAAAGTTATAAGTGCTCACAGTTACTTCTATTAAAGCTGTTAAATGTATTTTGCCTATTCTTTTTGATTCTCCCTTATATATTATTAATTATACTTATAGTTTTAATTTAATAATTCATATTTACATTCTACGGCCACATACAAGGCTATTTTCCATCATATAGTAATGGTAGTGGTTCATAAATGTAATTTTAGATTAATTTACATTACTGCTATAATCAGGGGGAGCATGTCAGGTAAACAATACAATATATGAACATTATAGCAGATACACAAATTGCAGGGCATTACTGCATTTGGACACAAGATGGTGCAGTTGTTACTTGCAATGCCAGATACAGGCTGAATAATGCATTGTCTTTGGTGGCAATAATTCAAAGTTGCATATTACACAACTAACAAGGAGAATGTTATTTCATATTGAACATGCAGTTTGACACCATAAGGGAAATGTTATGTCATAGAGCCCACAGCTTTATTGAGGGAATTCATAAAGCTGGAAGCCTTTTGTTTGATCAGGACTATTTTATTATTTTTTTAAATTCTTTATTTTGAATTTTCAGATAAGATAGGCAATATGTACAAAAACACGTAAGACCGTCTATGCCGTAGTCCACTTATATATATCAACAGATACATCGAGCATGTGAGATTATCATGGTTCCCTGACCCTGTAGGGCATCGTGTGGGAGGATCGCCCATTGTACCGGTGACTACGAATCAGGATCAGGACTATTTAACGCAGTTTCTTAATAGCAACATAAAGACCAGGATCGGGGACTTAGGGGTACAATGCTGCCCACAAATGTGCATATAACTCCCTGGAAATGATGCCCTTTTTTATTCAACATCTCACTTACATTATATCAACATCTCTTACATTATATTTTACAATTACTGATGTTAATTTTATTTTTCAGGGAAGAATCAGTTGCTCTGGACATTTACTTGTGCAGTCAGCTCCACTACGTCCTCGTTCAATTCCTACTGTATTGTCTCATAGGTAATGTGTTTATTATATACTCCTATCATTGATTATTACTTTTCATACTGAACTATTCACAAGCATAGGGACCTACACATCACCTGGGTAACCGGTGCTATTAATCCCAAGTGTGTACTCAAAGCATGAGGACCCATTAGGAGTACCATAAAAGAATGCACAGAAAGCCCCTTGCAGGCACAGGCAGTAAGTACTGGATGGAGTCCCAGGCCTCTCCATCTACTGCTGGTTATCTAGGTGCATTTATCTGTAGAGCAACCAGTCTGGATGCTCAAAGAACTTCTAAAGCGAAAACATTTTTAGCATGAAAAAGATGAGAAGTACAAACAGCTAAGCCCAGCAGGCATGAAAAGATATTGTTTCACAGCAGGAGAGAGTCATAATGGACCATTAAGATTTACAAAACCACAAACTGAAAGTGCATAAAAGGGGCATAGTAGAGTCCACGTAGAAAGGGGAAGCACTGGGGTTTAATACAGGTAAGAGAGAATGATGGGGGGATAGAATGAGAATCAACAACGATAGATATAATTCAAAATGAATGGCCATAGCGATTGTAGAGACCTGCCAAGCTAGGTTCATGCCTAAAAAGGAGTATGGTGCAGGTGTGGGGGCGATAGAGTGTCAGGTACACAGGAATGGCATGGAGGATAGGGTCAGGGTAGGTAGAGGAAAGAGCGGGAGGGAAGCAAGAGGGAAAGTAGGGTGAGGAGAGGGGGAAAAAAGTGGGGGGGAGAAAGATATACAGGTGGGAAGCAGGTTAGCCTCTTCAGACATTTCAGAGAGATATACAGGATGCATCACAAAGAAGAGAGCAGTTGAAACCTGCAGGCAAACAGTGGGTTAACCAAGGGGCCTTTATAGCGTTACATTTTACCAGTTCATCTGCTTGTATTGCCATACATTTTTTGTAGTAAATACAAAGAAGTTCAGGAGAATAGGATGGTCAGTTTTTTCCACACTTTCAAGTGTTTGCTTGGCCGCTGTAAACACATGTGTAATTAGATGGGTTTCAGGGACTGAGTATCCCAAAGGTCTTTTATTAAGAAGCGCCTCCACTAAGTTGCAGCTAATGGGGCGACCCAACAGTGTTACCATACTATGAGTCTGTAAACGTGGGCCCAGAAGCTTCTGCTAAGAGGACAGTCCTACCACGTGTCTCAGATACCACTCTGTTATAAACAGGGCCCTAAATAGTAATTCATAAGCCTTCCAAAAGAATCTCTAGAAATGTATCTAGGTGAATTGTTGTCTTGTTATCAAGGAATGGATGCATCAATTTCATTATGATTACATATCCCTTGTGTAGGACACGGCCACGTCAGGCAGAAGTGGAAAATGAATCTGTACAACAGAGGTTCTTCCGGCCGTACTTTCTCCAAGCTCCTGGAGATATGGTGGCACATGAAGGGCGCTTATGTAGATTAGACTGCAAGGTAAGAAAGGTAGAGGTCTCTAAATTATACTCTATCAAATGTTTAAAGAAAGAAACTCCACAATGATTTGTTTTAACAGGTGAGTGGTCTACCGCCACCAGACATTATGTGGGTTCTCAATGGAATACCCGTCTCACCAGATACTACTCACAGAATGCTGGTTAGGGAGAATGGAATTCACTCACTTCTCATTGATCCTCTCTCACAAGCTGATGCCGGGACATACACCTGCATTGCAACCAATAAGACAGGACAAAACTCATTCAGCTTAGAGCTGAGTGTGATGGGTAAGATTGCATGCAGTTTCTTACTTTTTATCTACAGTGGGCAGTAAGCAAGCACTGGAAAGCACTGCTAGTCATTTGCTATAAAAGTAAAATCATTGATAACGGCAGGTCTCATTTTAACCACACCAATCACAGTAGCTGTGATTGGTGTCTGTGTGCTGTTTGAAATCAACACTGCAAGCACAGACAGACCTGTAGTCTGCTTAGTATTTACTCATAATTATTCTGAGACTTGTATTTCCTTGGGCAAGTGAGAGCATCAAGTTCTACAACATTATTTTTTTTTAAATAGAGTCAGGATTGGCCTGGTGTCGGCTGTTCTCAGTGCCTCTTATCACTTGACTTCAACCCGTCTGTCATGTGACAACAACCAGGCCTAGCTATTGGCTTCTGGGCCCAAGCACTGCATCATGAGTTGAGGTCAATGGCCCCACAATGCCAGGAAGCACCTAGGATTTTTTTTACGAGCTGAGACATAGGAAAGGGTGGCTGGCGAGGAGGCTTGGGAGAAAAATGGCAGAAGTATAATTATTATTTCTTTCTCATTCATTGAAGGACAAGGATTAAAAAAACAAATAGGGTATACAGTACATTGCTGCCTACTACACTGGCAAACAAAAAACAGTGGCCAGCCAGTATAACTGCTTCCACTCCCAGCATGCCTTAGATATTCGTTAGTTTCCTAGGAGGATTGACATCTTTTCTCCACTGAGAAAAGTTTAATCTTCTGCACTAGCCATTTTTTTTCTGTTATGCAGAAGGGGTTAATACTGAAGGACTAAACAGGGAAGCACTTAGTTTAAGGGATTGTCATGCACATTTGCGCCGTGCTCTTGGCCTTTGCTGTCTGCATGCAGTGGCCTAGTCACCTCTTTGCCGTCTGTACCTTTCCTTTTTCCAGAAGCCGGTTCGTGGGTGTCTAAAATTGAACCTTATACCCTGAGCTATATTGTCCCTGCCTTGATGCGCAACATGTCAAATTCCACAGACACAGGGTGCAGGGGGGGCCTGACACCGACAGTCTGGAAAAGTGTCCACTGCTTGATTCCCTACACTCTTCAGTCTTCCTTTGCTCCTTAAGATGTTACCTTCTCGCTGGTTCTCTTCTTTCATGGGACAAATTACAAACCTGATTGCTGCGTCATTGCAGCGGCCAAAAGTGTACTTCTACACATTTCCCTACATCTGATCTGCCTGCAGCTTTAAAGGCCTCAAAGTCTTCTGAGACTCTGCCTAATAGGGAGTCTCAAAAACCATTAATGGATCATATTGCCCCTGAGGAGGTTCAGGCTAGGTTCACACCTAGGCGATTTATCGCGCGGACTTAGTCGCGCGATATCGCACAAAACAGAGATTTGCATTCAAGTCTATGGAAGCTGTTCACACCTTTGTGATTTGTCGCGCGGTAGAAATCGCCTGTCGCACAAAAAGGTGCATTAGCGATTTTCGGGCGGTTGTCGTGCGGTTTGGGTTTCATAGACATTTCTATGCATTGAAAACAAAATCATGCAGAAACACGCAACACCAGCTCAGTCGCTTAGGTGTGAACTTAGCCTCAAGCAGCTGTTGTTACGCCCAGGCATAGAGATGCTGTGCCAACACCTTGAAGTTGGAAGAATACCCTTCAGCTTCTACCAGTGCTGCTACCTGTCTAGGATCTTTTAGAGGCCCTAACACTGTTCTTACTCAGTGGATACTGACGCATACAAACCACTCTCTGATATAATACTTGGCTTGCTTTAATCATATGGTGAACTTAGTAATGTAATAAGAGACATCTGAGAGCTGGGAAAATCATTTCAAGGGGTGTTTTTTTTAAACATCCATTCCCTCCCCACCCCAGTTCACATGGTTATTTGGAAGTTAAAGGAAGGAAGACATTGTCATTTTTTAGTAATTTAGGAAAGTAAAACGTACTGAATTTTTTTAATGAAAAAGTCATTTTAATAACCACGTATTGTATAATTGCTTGAGCAACCATTATACATTATAGATTATATACATTTAAGGAAAATGTACTTTGCCTGTAAGTGATTCATTATGAGAATACTAGAGGAAGATCTTCACTCTTTCTAAAAATGTGTTGTACTTTCCTGCATTTCTCATATTCTTTCAGCAAAGGAAGTGCAGAGACCACCCGTATTTTTGGAGAAGCTGCAGAACAGTGGGGTACCAGAGGGTCACCCAGTTAGGTTGGAGAGTCGTGTTATTGGGATGCCTCCTCCAGTCTTCTACTGGAAGAAAGACAATGAAACCATTCCAGCCCACAAACATAGGATAAGGTATTTGCTGACTTGCTGATTTGTATATGATAAATGGAATTGTGGATGCCCATGTATATTTGTCTAATACTTATATGTCACATTTTATTTTCCAACTTGTTTGTAAGAAAGATATGTGTTGTTTTTATCCATTTTGCAGTATGCACCAGGATGCCACGGGGTATGTGTGCCTACTCATTCAGCCAGCCAAAAAAGAGGATGCGGGGTGGTATACACTGTCAGCAAAGAATGAAGCAGGGATTGTGTCCTGTACTGCTAGACTTGACATATACGGTAGGTTTAAACGCAGATGATAATACATGAAAATAACAAAGACAGGTATATTAGCAAAAAAGCAGTAATTTATTTGACTGGCAAAATCTACCAAAGAGATTGCTGTGCCAGGTGAATATTATCTGATGATGTAATATAGGAAATGCATGTTACCAAGAAGAGTGCTATGAGAACAACCAGGGAGAGTTCTGTGATAGTTGCACATTACATTAGATATTGCCATAAAAGCTAGATGGAGAGAGAGTACTGCGAGAGCTGGTTGCTACCAGAGAGAGAGAGCTACCTGGTCCCTCTATATCTTCACTGTACTATAAATTCAACTATAAGTTGGCATGGGCTCGAACATCGGGAGCTCATGTGTTCGGCGAACACACAAACTGTCAGGGCGTTCAACTGGCTGTTCGGCCGCCGAGCTCCTCACAATGCACTGTGTGCATTGGAGAGCCCTGATTGGGTAAAGCAATGCACCTGACCACAGGTTAGGTGCAAGACTTTGTCCAATCAGGGCACAGGGCTCTGTAGGAGCCATGATTGGGCAAAGTAATGATGACTGTGCCCAATCATGGCTCACAGCTAAGTCCCAGCCCCACACTATATAAGGCTGCTTACACGGCAGCCTTATGTAGTGTGTTGCTGGAGTTAAATATAGAGTGTTTCTGTCAGTGTAGTGTAGTGAAGTGCAGTGCAGTGTAGTGCAGTGAAGTGAAAGCTAACTGGTGTCAGTGTAGTGTAGTGTCAGTGCTTTATACAGCATCTAATGCTATATATACAGTACTCTGTACTGTATATAGTATTTTTTTCTATGCTGTATATTCGCTGTCTTTTTTTTTGGTGTGTCAATGGCGTCACTGGTGTTTCTCCTGCGTCACCAGTGTTCCAATTCTCTTTTTTTTTTCTTTTTTTCTTTTTTTTAATTATTTTTACTTTTTTTTCAGCAGCAGGTTCTTTTGCTGCCTCATTGCTATTCCCCCTTCCATGTCGCGGGTGCTCCCGTTTAAAAAAAAAAAATAACAAAAAAAATAATAAGCCATTATACCATAGTATATAGTGCAGCAAGCATTACATACGATAAAGTATTGCACCCAAGCACCAATTTCCCATCCCACATTCTCTAATAAAATTTTATATTAAGCCCCACATCATGTCTGAAAGGCCAACAAGGAGACAGGTGTGTGGCAGGTATATATAATTTGAATTTTTTACGGCAGGGTCCAATCCTGCACTCGCCAAGAATAACTCTGAAGGGTTACGTGTGAAGGCACCGCCAACACTGAAGGCCCAATTTTTTTTGGCACCTGTGTGAAAGGTATATATAATTTGAATTTTTAGAGCAGGGTCCAATCCTGCACTCATCTACAATAACTGAAGGGTTACGGTGTGAAGGCACCGCCAACACCAAAGGCCCAATTTTAAAGCACCTGTTGTTACTTTCCTCCATTGTCTGCAAAAGAGGCACTAGAATGTATCCAAATAATCTCTAACCTGGTTCCGAGTGTGCTATAATGTGGCCTCTTCATACAGACGGCCTCCCCAAGCAGTTGTTTACAAGATTAAGGGAAAACCAATTTAAATGTCATTTTTTTCATTATAAATGTAATTTTTGCTGCAGCAGGTTCTATACATCATACAGATCCGCCACTTCACAGGCAGTTTAAGGCAACCCCCCGGGCACCATATTTAAAGGAATTTTTCATTTTTATTGTTTCACTTTAAGCAATGTTAAAAGCACTGCTCCTTTAAAAACTGTATTTTTTAAAAGTGTTTTTTTCATTGATACATGTCCCCCAGGGCAGTACCCAGAACCCCATACCCTTTTTATGGCCAATAACTTGCATATAAGCCTTCAGAATGGGGACATTTGATTTTATGAGTTCTGGTCCCAAAGACTTACATTGAGTTCTAAATTCAAGTTAGAACTTTTTCCATGTTCGAAAGTTCTAGTTAGAACCAAACTCAGGTGTGTTCAGCTCATCACTAACTATAAGCTGTCATGAGAAGGGTTCTCCTAATCCTCTTGTTTTATTCATTCATTATGTATTTATTACAGGTAGTTAAATAGCGCCAACAATTTATGCAGTGTTTCACATATTGCACATTCACATCAGTCCCTGCCCCCGAGGAGCTTACAATCCTTAGATTGGATTGGACTTAGATTGGACTAAGGATACGAACTTTAGTCCCCATCTCACGCACATACAGGGACGATTTAGGCAGGAGCATGTCTTTTGAGTGTGGGAGGAAACCAGAGTACCCGGAGGAAACCCACCTTGCACAGAGAGAACATTGTTTTTGCACTCTGTTGTAACTGGACAATCTACCTTTAAATTGTAAAGTAGGGATGCACCAATATATATCGGCCGCCGAAACATATCGGGCGAAAATTGCACTTTTGGCATAATGCCCAAAGTGCCATTTTCTGGCTGATACAGTGGCGCATCCATTCTTTCTCTCCTCCCCGCTGGGTGCTGCTCTGTGTCCCAGCAGGGAGGAGAGAAACTGTCACAGACGGCCAAGCGCTGCGGGAAAAAGATCGCTGTGAGCAGCTGGCGTCTCTCCTCCCACAGCGCTCAGCCTCCTGTCACAGATCAGAGGAGAGCAGTGTGGACGGAGACAGCCAGCGCTGTCACAGCAAGCTGAGCTCCGCTCGCTCAGTCTCCTGTAAAAAGCATGTCAGGATGGAGAGTGAGTACAAACACTCAGCGATCAGTGATCGCTGAGTGTTTGTACGTAATTGAGGACATAGTATGTTTACTATATCCTCAATTATGAATGAATGGGAAGTGATCTGCATCAGTTCCTGTTCATTCATGATTGTGGATATAGTGAACATACTCTGTCCTCATGTCATAAATGAACAGGAACACTCAGTATAGAGGATTCCTGTTCATTTATAATAGGGGCTGCAGAAAAAGAGATTGAGGACTCTGTGTTTTCAATCTCTTTTTCTATTTTAAAAGTGAAATATCAGGGCTCTGTTTAGGCCCCTAATATTTCCCCCAAAGCCCCTAATAGTAAAGTAAAAAATAAAAATATTTAATAAAAAATAAATATTAAAAAATGTAAAAGTTTTAAATAAATTAAATATTTCAAAAACTTTAAAAAAAAAAACATTTTCGGTTTCGGCCTGACATATTTTTTTTTATTTCGGTTACGTTTTGGTTTTGAAATTTTCATTTTGGTGCACCTCTATTGTAATGTGCCACGCAAACTGTTGCTTTTATATAAATCCTGTATATTAATAACAATGTATGGCAAGCTACTTATATTGTCTAATATAAAGATATATTTTATGTGCAATGGGTATATCAAATAGTTAATAAAAAGGTGCTGCTGGAGGATCAGGGTTTGCCAGAAACCGAGAAGATCACAAATAATTCTGAAGATTTCCTACAAGAATAGAAGAAATGAAGAACAAGCCCTTGTCCAGGACAACCAATGAGATGCTTTATTTATTTCTATACTTGGATAAGGGGACTCACATAATAGACGCTTTTCACATGATTGCATGATTAAAGTAAATATTTTTTCAGTGAAGATTCCCAATTTCTTTAGAACATCAGCCTCCTTATGCCTCTCGGTCATCTATTGTAGATTTACCAGCCAATTAGGAGCCATTATTTAGGTGTATGTAGAGACTTTGTATGTCCTTCACCGTGAGCAGAGGTCATCAGAATGTTCCTCTCACACTAAGTTGCTGTGGGAAGAAGCCTGACAATAGGTGTTGCTGATTGTAATGTAAGTGTATTTAAACTGAGTTTATGAGCTCCGATGAGAAACAGGATTTTCATTCATGAATATATCATTAAAGTGTTTTCCATCAATTTTTGTAGCCCAGTGGCACCAGCAGATTCCTCAGCCAATCAAAAAAATACGACTTCCTGCAAACCGCTACTCGACATTCTCTGCGCCAAACCTGGATATTCTGCACCCGTACCCAACTGCAGAAACCCCGCTGAGCTTTGTGTTTCCAATCCGCAACGTGGTAGAGAGCGACGAGCTGTGAATTCAACTGGCTACAGTAACACTGAAACTGTGAAGAAAATGACAGCGGAAAGTTTACAAAAGTCAATTTTTCTATTTTTTTAAAATATGGTTTTAGTTTATTGCCCATGTTAAATAGCCTAAGAGATGGAAAGTATTTCAATGTTTAACCTTAATGGGGCTTATAGGCGCAATTGTTCACCCATATAGAAATGCATTTATCTTTTCTACAAGCTGGGCGCGCTAGAAATATACACAGATTTGTGTCGCTGTGTCACTGACAGTGGGATCTGTTTTAACATTGTAATGCTGTGTATTTACTTATTTAATAAAATTATTTATGTGATTAGGCAGAATAAAGATCAATAGATGTTCTATTAATATGAAGATGTGTACCATTTGTATTTAACAGATATTTACATTGTTCTTGTAGTGAGGCTGACACTGTAGATGCTTTCAGTTAACCGTGCCATCTCCCACTATTTAAGTCCTTGAAAGCTTGTCCATATGAAGTGGAAAAACAGATGTATTATGAAATAAAGTGGCAACATACTGCATATTTGTAGACTTGTTTTATCATCAGTTGTTTGTATTATTTGTGTCTTCTTTTTCATTCTAATTGTGTTGGCACAGATTCCTATTCATAGTTCTTTACCTGCACATCTATTATTATTATAATGTTACCATCAAAGAACAGATTTTGACTTTTTAAATAAGACATAGACCAATGCCAGTGGCCTATAGCAACCAATTAGAATTTTTATTTCATTTATCCGACTAGAATAAACAAAAAGCCGATTGCTGGAGGCACAACACTTTACACATCGACATTTCTATACGTATGCTAGTGTCATGTCCATTTTGTCATGCTCATTTATTAGCTTTAATACTATCTTAGTCATTGGTCTGGAAAAAGTATACATTTAAGGAGTTATTATTTCACTTGTTGCATTCTTTTTCCTGGCCAGCAACTTTGAAATAATTTAAGCCAAAGACAGCGATGAAATTAGCTTGTGAGTCGAGATCAAAAACAAACGTTCTTAGTATATTTTCTTATCATGTAAAATGTAATGTAATGCTGAATAATGTAATGCTGAATTAACCACTAGATGGCGCTAAGGAGCACTGGCTATAACTCATATTTCTATGCTCCCCAGCTCTATGTAGTAGCCATAATGAGGTATTACATTGCATTAGGCCTGAAAACAAAATATACTAAAGATGTTCGTTTTTGCCTCGACTCACACACAACAAACGTTCATAAAATTTCGCAGGGCAAATGGCTCTGCAAAATGTTTATAACTAGACACCTTTATTAATTCCTGAACCCTATAGATAACTTAAAAGAGAAATAAGGAATACATGAAACCCCTTTTGTTTACACAGTTACTTTAAAGATAGCTCTTTGATCATTCTATGATACTTTTTCCTAAGAAACACTAAAATATATGTTAGAAAACCAATGCTACAAAACATACATAGACAACAGTACAAATAAAAGTGAAGAAATACTTAAAGTCCAAAGTAAACTTCAGGATTTATTAAAATTAACCCTCGGTCTAGGCACACAAATAAAGAAAATATACTCACCTGATCCTTGGTGGCGCCTGGCCGATAGACCGGTCCCCACAGCCACTTCTCCCCTGCGCTCCAGTGGTCTAAAGACTGCCTTATGTAGTACATTAGATGTGAGGACACCAAGGGACGTACCACAGCTGGTGCGGAGGGTGGCACTGTGTTTAGCCCCACTTCTCCATTCTCCCCACACAGTTGGGGGTTCATCAGACCTCATTGTTATCACAGTAGGGATTACAGGGAGGGCTGTGAGCATAAGAAGAGTGGAAACAGATGGTTAAGCTTATGAAATGCAGGATAGCAGTGATCAGAGGAACAGTGGCATAGCATCAGAGCCGTAGCTAGCTCCCTTTGCGCCCGAGGCAAGAACAGAAAATTGTGCCCCCCAACAGACGTGTGCGGTATGTGACATCATGCGCCCTGCCTCCAGGATGGTGGCGCGCATGCGCAGAATGCGCTGGTGGCCAAATCCAAAATAGCATTTGTTTTGTTTGACGAAATCTAATGAAAACATTTTTAGTTTCCGTTCATTTCATCCAAACATGTTTAGTCTTTGCACATGTCTAGTAATATGTGTCTATAAGTGTGTGTGGGTGGGGTGGGGTGGGGGGTTGGTGGTGGGGGGCTTCAGGGAAACATCAGGGGTCTAAACAGACCCCTGACATCTGCCTTTTAAAATAGAAAAAGAGATTGAGGACACAGAGTCCTCTGCCCATACAGGTGGGGGAGAGCAGCAGGGATCCGAGGAGAAGCTTGAGCCTGTGCCGCTCCTCTTCTCCCTGCCGAGCCAGGGCTGTGTTGGCCGCCTGGCTTCCCTGTTGCCAATGGCACCCTGTGCTCACTATGGCAACAGGGGTGAGGGGGCAGCCAGGCCGGCCCTGGCTGCCCCTCCACTCAGCTGCTCCTGAGGCGAGTGCCCCACTCGCCCCATGGTACCCTGTTTCCCCGAAAATAAGACCTACCCCAAAAATAAGACCTAGTACTATTTTTGGGAAGTGCTAAAATATAAGACCTACCCCGAAAATAAGACCTAGTTGTGACCATTCCCAGGGCCGGTGGTGGCATAAGGGGGAACTTGAAGAGCTGCGGAAGAGGCAGGAGAGAATCAGCGGTGCCAACGAAGCCAGCGCTAGAGGAAGCAGAGCCGAATAAGCCAATGCCTCCTCTATAGGGCCGGCTCCTGTCACAGGTGGAGTGATACCAAATGCGCTCCCCCTGTGAGGAATCGATAGTGAAAGTGCGCTTCTCTCATTCTGGCCAGCGATTGGTTAGCAAATTGCTCTTGGAAAGGTACGACACCCCTGATTGCCCTGATCACCATATTTTTGTACTTGAATACATGTAGACTGTTATACATGAATAAGTGTGGATTGAAGTGTTGTGCATAAAAAAAAATAAAAAAATAAGACCTACCCCGAAAATAAGACCTAGTGTGTTTTTTTGAGCCCGAAAAAATATAAGACAGTTTCTTATTTTCGGGGGAAACACGGTAGCTACAGCCCTGCATAGCATTGAAGGCTGTAAAGAATGGGAGCTAGAAAAGACTACATATGTTGGCTTTCTATGACATCAGAGTCCAAATAAATCAGATATATGGGAGTTCCTAATATGTAAACTTCTTACCACTATAGAAACATACATTTGGAAATGATGGGCACTTATTTCCTTTTCTGTGATGCACATTTGTTGGTGTCTGAGATCTATTTACATTCTATTGTTTAATAAAGACAAGAGACAAGAACACCATGAACTGCCATTAAAACTCTTGTGTTACCCTGCCCTATATATGCTGCAGTGCAGATCCCAAATGTTATGTTACACGTGGGTATTGTTTAACCTTAGCTTGTAAACGCTAATATAAAAATCATCAGATTTAGCAAGCACTTAAAAAGCATTTAAAGATATTTGAACGCAACCTCCAGATTGTCTAAGAGTAACAGGTCTATTCATAAAAGGGTGAAGGGTTAGGATTAGGCAGGAGAAGTGAATAATCTAGGACAACATAGCTGATTAGGAAGAATTCTCCAATTCAGCTCACTTTCCAGTTCAGCTATGTTGTCCTAGATTGTTCACTTCTCCTGCCTTCTCCAAACTCTTCACCCTTTTGTGAATAGGCCTGTAAAAATATATAGAGCTCAGTGGGAGCATTGGTTTTAACTTTAGGCAGATGTTTAGCAGGCTTTAAACAAGGTTTAACATTCCTGGAAAACTGCTAAAGCTGCTAAAAGCTTGTTTAAACCCACAGCCATCTCTTCCACTGAAATGAATACCCCAAAACTAGAGCTGAAGGCTGCCCAAAGGGCTTCAAGAAAGCTGCTAAAAGCTTCATAAAAGCTTGCTAATACTAGCATATACAGGCTCAGATTAAACAATGCCTTTTTTTGGGGCCTCACGTTTCTAAACTTCATATTTGTTTTTTCTGTACAATAGGTTTACAAAATTTGCTTATATATGTTATGTAAAATTGACAATGTTTGGCAATAATAGAAGAGAAGGTATTTACAACACATTTTGTGAACTTTGCTGGAAGAAAAGGTCTCTTCCCCAAAAACCTTTTTTTTTGCTATAAAATGGTATAATCAATATTTGATTCTTGTTTGCGTGTTTCCAACTATGCAGCGCCAACTGAAGAATAAACTAACTAAATATTAACTAAACGTGTTTAACTTTGATTTAACAATACACCTTGATCAGTGACATAGCATATATCAAACAACAATCGGTGTGTATGGATCAGTGTAACATGAAATTATTAAACCAAATATACATTCATGTACAACATAAATATTGTGAAAATAAAAAAGTTTAGAACAATTGAGTGACTGTGTTGAAGTGCTTTTTACGATATAAAAACACAATTACTCTGGACATACAGTCCCACAGGGTCCCTTGAATATTTAGTGTTGGTGTAGAAACAGTGTTCCTGGTGCACAAAGTTTGTAAGTTGATGTGACAATCGCGTGAAACTTGTTGGGGAGATGGGCAAATGCCGTACGTATCCCCTCAGAGTGTGCACTCACCGTGATGTAGTGGCTGTGATAAGCAGCCAAAAGCGCTTATATGAAAACTCACGGAGCCGCAGCGTCCTCAGCGTGTCTCTTAACGATCAGTATCCAGCAGGCGGTGTGTCTTTCAAATGAAGTTTTAGTCCTTTTAAAGATAAGTCCTCTCAATCTCATAGAAACAAGTGTTTGCAGTATCCCTGACTGGTGAGAAACTGGCCAGTTTGCAGTATCCCTGGCCAGTTTCTCTCCAGTCAGGGATATATGCTATGTCACTGATCAAGGTGTATTGCTAAATCAAAGTTAAACACATTTAGTTAATATTTAGTTAGTTTATTCTTCAGTTGGTGCTGCATAGTTGGAAACACGCATGATTTGACCTAGGTGTCTTTATTGCTGCAGCCTTCACTAAATATAGATTATTCACTATATCACATTTATCAGGGCACAGAACCTTTTTTCACATATCCAGCGCAGGATTAATAAACACAAATATTTTATTCTTATTGTTTTATAAATAGCCTTAAAGGTGGCCCCATTTGTGATACTCACAGAGTGAAATCCAATTTCTACTTCTGCTCTGAATGTCACCAAATATAAATAAAAATAGAAACAGAAAAAGGTACAACACTGTAAATAAAACACCCTTCAGATAAGAATAACTTTGAGGCAGTGATGCGATTTTTCATCCTGGCACTATGTGAGTTTCATAAATGTCCCTTAAAGTGCAGTGTTTCAGCAACTTAAAGTGTATGTCCAGCCAAAATGATTTTTTGCTGTAACTTTGGTAGGGTTGGGAAGGATTAAAACCTTAATTTTTACTCCTATTTCAGGCTCCTTTAGAGAGATTTCCCCTCACTTACTGTCACAGTGACAAAGGCTTTTTCAAACAGCAACACAGACAAAAACCGTTGTCACTGCTACAATTAGTGAGGAATCCCTCTAACAGAGAGATATCAGTCAAACCTGACATGTTTTAACCCTTCCCTAATCCATCCAAAAAACAAAAATAAAATGGCTGGTCAAACACTTTATGGGCTTGTTCACACTATCTGCGTTCAGGCTGCCCTGGCCGCTTTTTGCAGCGCAGCCCAAATGCAATACAACACAATTTGCCTTTTCACTGGTGGGCACAGTTTACACCATTGCGTTCCATGTGCACTTAAAAAAGTACATCATGCAGTACTTTCTGTAAGCATACCATAGTGATACTCAGTACAACTACAATGGGGTGAGCCCATGGAACTTAATAAAATGTCACTTGTGACATTTCAATAAAGTTCTAACAACAACAAAAAACAGTGCGACGCAGCTCGATTAAGGGCATTGGCACTGTCCGGACACACCAAGCCGTACAGTTGAGCGTGGCTGCTAGTGTAAACAAGCCCTATAGTAGTGTGTAAACCTTAACAATGACCTTATCTTATTTGCTCCCTTTTGTTCTGTTAAATATACTATTTTGGTTTTATCTCTTCAATAAGAACCGGTTGTTCTTCCCAGGAATCCAGTGGCCTTGTAACTTCTCACTATGAGATTTTCTCGTGTCCTGCTGCATTGAAATATCAAGGAGATTTATCAAACCTGCTCAGGATTACCTCTGTGAACTACAACCAGCTCCAACTATGTTATGGAGATGAGGAATGGGGGAGTTCTGTAGTACTAACAATGAACTCCTCTATAGATGCAGTACAGTGAGTGAGCACTGTCACCCTGGGACAGAAAGTTATATAGAAGATCAGGCAAAAACAAGGAAACAAAAAACCCCAGAAAACTTACAGCCATCACAGCTATTCTGGGCTTTAGATACACTTTAACTGATTTTTGCTCATATTGCACTGTAACTATTATGTGCTGGCTTTATACATTGTTTCAGACTCCTGCAGCATGCTGAACCATTTATACTGAACCATACATATAATTGTATCAGTCTACTCACATCATTAACACAGTTACTGTATATTTCCACTTCCAAGGTTTGTGATATTAGAATTCTGACACAAGTGTTTTCTATAGAACTTTTCTTTAATAGCTATTGGAGACTGCAGTAAAAAGTATAATGACACCTGTATAGACTTCTACTCTATAAAGCACTTTAACAATTAGCTTGGTTTCCAACCTAAACCCTTCTTACATCATAACTACAAACTGCAATCCTTTCTTCACCAGCAAACACTTGTTACATCCCTGACTGTAGAAACAGGCTGGAAAGGGTTACAATTCCAGTGCAATAAGAAGAATAAACCCAGAAATACCTTCTGTCCCAACACAGAATGCTGTAATGATTGTCCTCCTGCAATGATAAATGTTACAATAACCAAAGGCATCAATATTCTCAACCAATTGTCTATAATAGATATGTATTCAATTTCATCTGATGTCACAATCAGCCCACAGCAATTATATTCTTCCTAGTATTAGGAATCAGTGCATATAGAGGGGTGCAGGTATTGTATCAGTCCTGGATCAAGTCCAGCATCAAGTCTATCACCTTCCCTAGTGGCTCGAAAAGGTCTGTGAAATGAAGTCATTTGGAGAAGCCAGTCCCAGGTAGCCCTGACAGTCCTGGTGAAACTGTTCATAGTGATGTGAAGCAGACCAGTCCGCTTCATCCCTGTATCTTTCTGCCTCTGTTAGGATCCTGTTCAGTGCCATGATGTAACTCAGAGCCATCTGTAGAGTCTCGTACTTGGACAGCTTCTTGTCCTCTCCCCATTGTGGTACCACTTTTCTCAGGCTGTCAAACGCTGTGTTCAGCCCTTCCATCCTCCTCCTCTCCCTGGCATTGGCTGCCAACCTCCTCTTGGTTGACCCTTCCACTCTGGCTGGCATACATCTGAGTAGGCATCTGGGTGCCCCCTTGGACTGTCCCTGGCACCCAGCATTGGAATCCATAGGAGGTGATGATGATGCATCAGATTTCATGCCTTCAGCAGTAATTGAATATCACCACAATGGCTGACAGTCAACTCCTAGAACATCCTAAGAAGTTTTATGGGTCGTGTAGTCGTCCCTGGGAATCTCTGGCACTGTCACCAATGTCTATAACACAGGCAGTAGCCTCCTAAGTGCTGCGATCACAACACTCTCATTGGACTGAACACCTCAATGCTTTACTATTGTGTCTGCAAAGGTCCACTATTTATATTGTGTATGTTGGGGCTCAGCAGATGGTGGCAGGTGGGCAGGCGTCCCTAAGCTCCCATACCAGCTCATTACCACCCTGGGACCTATATGCTAGGATTCTGGGAAATATATCAAATCTGGAAGTATACAGCATGGATCTGCTGGAACGTTTAACGTGATGCTGCAAAGGCAGGGCTCAGCCATCTGTTCGGATGCTACTGGTACAGCACACTGTGTGAAATCTCATTAATAAGTAAACTTGCAGCAAAACACAATCTCCTGTACAGCTCCAGCCCTTGTATTGTCCTGGGCTATGACCACCCGACACAGGCTGGGGCACTAGCCAAACGTATCAAGCATTGGCCATTACTTTTATAGAAGATCTACACTGACTTTCCGACAATTTTATCATTTCTATAATATGTGTCATTAGTCAGAAATGGGTGTATGATCGTGCCATATAATATGAACTGTCACCAGGTCCTGCAGACATAATTGAGCCATCAGAACAATTATTGAAGCTGTGACTCTCAAAGCCAGGAAAACAGATCATTAGCCCTTGCAGAGGCAGAGACATGCGAAGTGAAGCTTCATAATCCTACAACAATAGGATGCACTTGAGAAATAATTGACTTCAGCGTGACAGATGTTCAATTGAGGTCATTAATCAGATGCTGGGGCCCTACATACTACAAGCAGCAATCTAGATCATTGGGGTTCTTTTATGTCCGAATTACTAATATCACAACACATCCTTCTCATTCTTGTTTGTGTTTGCTTATATCACAAAGAGCTGTCTCCATTCAGATGAAGCCTTGGATGCTTTGATTTTTCACACTTAGGATGTTGTAAACAATTATTTAAATGCCCCTAAAGTGTATGGGATCATTTCATTTCATTGCTGGTGTATGAAAAGCTACGGTATATGTTTCAGCCATAGATGATGTGCGATCAGTGAATCAGTTATCAGTTAAATAGAAATGTGCAATTTAACATGGAAACCTGTTAGCACATGTGTAAGGTGTAAGCCAGATATTTCATATTTGGTGGTCCACTAAGCAGTGAAGTGAGGATCAACATGACAGATCTCAGGGCTGGTGTAGACCTGGGCGATCCGGGACACGCGTCCTGGGACTGCACGATTATGTACAGTTGCATACCACGGAGCCCCATTGATTTAATTGGTGATACATCCGCGTGGCAATTGCAGAAAAAAGGTACATGTACCTTTTTTTTGCGACACATGACACAGGGCTGTTTTAGCCACATTCGTGTTCGATTGCATGGGCGGAATCATGGTGGACAACCGGGTGATCGGCCCGGCGCGACTGGGGTTCCATTAGAAAATAATGGCACAGCTAGTGCGATCGGCGGTGGTGGGCAACTCTGTGACCGCACAGCAATCTGCACGGTCACGGATCGCTCGGCCTCAAAGCTTTCAAAGACACCTATCATCTCTAACAGCTCGCAGCAATAGCTGTGTGGAAGTGCGCACTGCTGCTATGTGCGAGCCCCCTGCATTCACACCAAGGCGTCAGCATTTTCGCCCAGGGTATTTTGCTCATTTCTACACATTTAGGCTAGGTTCACAACTAGACGACTGAGCTGGTGAGCTGTTTTCGCGCAGTTGCGTGTTTTTGTTTGCACGATTTAAACAATCATTTAACCCTTTCACTGCCAGCAACATATGCTTTACGACGCTGGCAGCAGACCCCCCTTCACACTGGAAGCAATTCTGTCAGAGAAACAGCCCACCCCCACTCACCACCCACCACGTTTCCACTGCCCCTCTTACAGGCCCGGGACCGCCTTCCTGGGTGTCGGCAGTAAGTAGGCAGAGAGACCAGCGAAAGTCCATTCGCTGACCTCCTTGCTACTGAATGAAGCCGGATGTGACGCTGATTGCATCACTTCTGGCTTCCCAGCTGTTGTTCCCCAGCTACAGAAGTTGATCACGCACAATCTGTGCTTGATCCCCTTCTTTGATGGCCAAAGGTGACATTAGGGGTGACCTTAAAGAGAACCTGTCACCTCCAATGTGCTATCACATAGGGGAGCGTTTAAAAAAATCAAGTTAAATAAAATAGATTTAAAAATAGTCCCACATCCTTACAAATGTTGGGTATCGCTGTGTGTGCCAGAGTAAGAGCAATGATTCTAGGCCCAGTATTCATGGTTAACGCTAAACTGATGGCCTGTACAGGCTTTTAAAGCTTTGCTTATGGACAATTTGGGGTACCATATGTTACACCATTTTATGGGCGCACACAATTTGATAAGTTTAGCATGTTGGGTATTTATTTACTCGGCACAACCTAATTTTTTATATTTTATTTACCAAAAAAATGTGGTATTATATTGTGTTTTTGTGCACTAAAATTAACTTAAGTGTATTTTTTGGGTTAACAGTTGCATAAAAATTTGCAACTGTCACTATCTTATTATACATGAGGCAGCTTCCAGCAAATATATAATTATGGGGGGTTTTAAGTAATTTTAAGGCCTAAAATATGGATTATATCATGTGTACAAAAAAATATATGCAAAAATGGCTCTGGCAGTGAAAGGGTTAAACCGGGAGTACCCAAACTTCAACCCTCCAGCTGTTGTGGAACCACAAGTCCCATGAGACACTGCAAGACTCTGGCATGACTTCCAGAGACAGAGGCATGATGGAATTTGTAGTTCCACTACAGCTGGCGGGCCAAAGTTTGGCTAGCCCTGCTTTAGACAGTTAACTGAAACCACATATTGGTAATAACGAATGTAAGGCTTACTAAATGACAATTTGGATTGAGTAAAACATTTATAATGTGTATACTGATACACATGGAGTACCTTTGGATCAGAAAGTACTGAAGTCCAGGCTGTGGGGTGATCTGTACACAGCTGTCCTCCAATCACTAATCAATGAACACACCACAGTCAGCCTGTGCTCAGCCTGCCATGGAGATCAGTAGTGAGGAGGACATGGCAAACCTTTCACATTCTGATCAGGTAAGGCGTATATGCATGCTAAGGAATAATGTGTATGGTGAGTTATATGGTTCACCTAGAAGCAGAGTCATAGATGGGTATGCTATATGCTGTGTATGACAATGATAAAGGAAATATTTCCTACTTCCAGTAGTGTCTCCCTCCGTCTACCCTGTGGTATGGTGATGTCCCATTCAAATGCTTTGTATGACCGGAGCGTCTCATTTCATACACAGCATTCAATACTAGCCAGACAACATGCAAATAGGAATCCCCCAGCAAGATCATCTGCCAATGTTACCAGAAGTGCTACAGTTACTGTCACACTGACATATACGGTTGCTGTTTTTAATAACCAAATACTCCTATTATCTGGAGGTGGCCATTGCTGACCTCTCCTTCTGAAAATGCTAGATTAATGGCTGTAATCAGGGATGTTCCTATAATGAGGCTGTTGCCTCAGGTGGCATCTATTTGGGTCACATGAGGGTGTGTCTTTGCGGCCAGAGCGTTCCATGTTGCTAAGGGCCGGGTGGGGATTGTGTAAGAGCACAATGGTACATGTGCAAAATATGCCACACTGCAACTGTACTACATGAAAGACTCAAATGTATGAATGTGGTCTTGGATTTCTAGGGAATGTTGTCGAATGCTCTGATAGGAAAATTTAATTTTTCCCTGTTTTTTTTTTCCTTTCTTGTGTGCGTTGAAATAGAAGCATTTTTAGGTTACTTTGCAGCTGCATACATCAAATATACGGAAAGTATGGTAGTTATAGCTTCTCCTCCAAAGTGGGTGAGTGTAAGGATTAAAAAAACAAAACTTTAGGAGAACAGAAATCTCTATAGGGATAGAGCATTTGAAATATGACAGAGACTTTAACCTTCCCCACGGTGTGAATGGGCCCCCAAGTGAGTAACAATGTATTTGATCTTTGGCCATATTAGGACTATTATGTCACCAAAATCCCACCCCTTTTAATTACATTTTAATTACATGCAGGCCTGTGGGGCCCCAGCTGCAGCTTACTGGGCTGGCCTGTTTCAGTCTGAACCCAAGCCTATCCCTACTCCTGACCCATGCACAGTGTGTTGTACTTTATATACTCCTGACCCAAGCATGATGTACAGTACTTTACAAACTCCTGACCCATGCACGCTGTACTTTACAAACTACTATTGACCCATGCACGCTGTACTCTACAAACTCCTGACCCATGCACGCTGTACTCTACAAACTCCTGACCCATGCACGCTGTACTCTACAAACTCCTGACCCATGCACGCTACGCTGTACTTTACAAACTCCTGACCCATGCACGCTGCGCTGTATATTACAAACTCCTGACCCATGCACGCTGCGCTGTACTTTACATACTCCTGACCCATGCGCGCTGCTGTGCTGTACTTTACTTTACATACACCTGAAAGTAAAGTTATTTAGCGCTTGAAAAGTCTCCTCTGTATTAATACTTAGGTGCTTTTAAGCCTTGCATGTATACTGCTCGGTTGCTTTGCATCATTACGTGTTTCAGTAGCAGGAGTCTTGCATTGCATAATCTTATTCCACAGATTTCTTGAAGCTACAAAAATGGCTTAACTGTCTAGCAGATGTTTCTACCTGTTTCAAATGAACTTCATGACCTGGTACCAGCATGCAGCAAAACCCATCTCCACCATTAGGGGCTCTGGTGAAAACCAGCTGGTGCCTTGGGTGAGCCTGTGTCACCTGCCAGGGGGTATCCCCCTAACAGCTGCACTTAGGACAGAGTGTCGGACATGCACATTCTGGACTCAGCACCCGTCCACACCATGTGTCCATGG